ACATCAGTTGCGGCATTTGTTGTCATAGCAACTGGGTATGTTTGCGGGGAAGGGGAGCAAATCTTTCACACCTCCCCCTCTGGCTATGTTATTTTCGTGGCTTCAAAATTGATGTATGATTTTGCAAGCAGCAAAGCTGCCCGTAATGGAACATTGAGGGGCTATGGGTCAGCGGGAATGGCAGACAAACTACATGCAGGCCCTGTCAGATATTTGAAGATTTATAATATGGCTTCTGTTGTGCACAGATTGAATGAATGATAGAATGAAAAGTTGTCCAATTCCAGACCAAACTTGATATGCTTTAACTGGCGGTTGAACGAATTCAATTTAAAATTTTAATACACTTTTCGCTCAGCTCAATTTTCTTTAATGTAAGCTAAAAGACAATTACTCCACCATCAAAAAACATAAGTGGCAACCCTGCTAAGCTAAGTCTTATATGAACCCATTCCTTATCTAAGCCCCAATATTGAAACTGTCAGTAGCAGTGGCTTCAACTTTCTATTGACGCTCCACACCTTTCAGCCCAGCAGGTGATAAACTTTCACTAGATAAATCTATTTGGCTCTGGGCCGACTGTTTTCCTGTGCGTCCGTTCCACTTAAACCAATTTCCTTTTTGCAACCAAACGAATTAAACTTAAAATAAATAAAGTAAAACCCAACAACAACACATTAAACAGTTTTCACTAGAACAGTTTTGCTGTAGTTTAAATGCCAGCGAGTGCTCGTAAAACTTTCGTTTGACCCTTGTCACTCCCCATCCCATTAGAAACACCCCCAACTTAACAAACGGTGGCAAGTGCGCACAACACAACACTGTTGTCGTGTAATCAACAGAAAATTGGCACCCGTCGATGTCCAAGTGCTGTCTGTGTCAGCATCGTTTACTCTAAATTATCTAGGGGTTGCCCAGCTGACCATCTGACCAGCTGACCGACTGGCTTAGTGGAGGGTGGTCTGTACTTGGTAAGTGGGTAATATTTACTTGTGCCCCAATAAATTGTCGTCTTAGACGCATAGTTGTTGCCTAGTTTCAGGCGTTCACATCTAATTTTCCTTGCCCATTACCGACCGTTATCGTGTAATCGTTGCCCCCGTTAAGTTTATCACTTGGTTCCATAAATTATGCACTTAGACTTCGAGCTTTTTGGTTAGCAAATACATTTTACTAGCTGCTATGCACGTGCTTTGCATTTAACTAATTTATTTGCACTGCACTTGATACTAATTACCTGGACTCCAACTACAGGTACAGTTGCCCGGCGCAGGCGTTACCTGCCAAATATTTACCGCTGGTCTCACCTCGCCAGCTGTCGGAGTATTACGTGCGGGATAATTAAGCGGCCAGCCAAATGCATTCTATGCCCTCGATGGGGTCAGCGCAGTTTCAGGTTAATATTCAGTTTTAAGCAGTTATCCCCTCTGAAAGTGGGGGAGCTTGGCCAGTTACAAGCTGTTTCACGCGACACGTTCCACGGCACAGTCACTTAAGCGAACCTGCAACAGCTGGAATGGAACCTGAAACTGGAACAATTTACGTGACCGCTTTGCAAAAGGGGCTCGTTAGCCATAAATTAGTAATGGGAAGCATTTGGAAGGGTTTTCATATCTGCATAGAATTATAATAATTAAATTCTTTAAATAGTCATCATTGCCTGCTTCGATTCGATCTCCAGCCATCCACATTTCGAATCCCATCAATGCTACCTTGAGTAGCCTGTAAGCTTTTGACAAAAGTATTCTTTTTTTACGACTCTTTTAAAGCGCCTGCTGACACATATTTAACACTTGCCCTTCTAACACTTGCCATTATTTATATTCTTTGGCTGTGTTACATTTTTCGCTGACCGTTGAACATTTTTTCCGGGTCATACCAGTCATAGCGTTTTACATGGATAATTTTCGCAAGCACTGCACAATTTTTCGACCAGTCATGCATTCCATTTCCTATTTACATTTATCTCTCGTTGCTTTTTATTTATTTGTACTGTACACAAAAGTCAAGAAATGTGCGACTGAACCAAATGAATTTAATGGAAAATGTGATGCGCCAGGGTTGTTGGCCCATAGGCGTCATTGTGACGGCAGCCCAGGCGCCAGCTAAACGCGATCTGCATTGCTGTGTCCGTTTTTATATGATTTTTAATTTATTTGTATACACAAATAAATATATATACAACACAGCACTCTGTTCATAATCTGAGCAAAGTATATTTGTTTTAAGTATCGTCCGCCTTTCAGCCTTTCAGCCTGTCCGACTCTACTGCAGTGAGCTCTCTTAGAGTTTGCACATATACATTTGTCAGGGCTTAAGGCAAGATTAATCACATACCTATGTCCGGTAGCTACAGCTAACAGTTTTGCGCTCACTTCCACTTCTGTTCCAATAAATCGCAAAAACCTATATTACCGAAAGTTACAGTGTTAAAGGGCGTTTCTAAAGCTGTTAACAGAGTATTCAAAAGTCAGTTTTACCAGAATACTAAGTTTTTTACTTCCTTTTTGGTACTTGGCTGACCAAATGGTGCCAACTAGACGCTGCGCAAAAATTGTTAACAATTTGCCAAGTAAATGTAAATTGGGTGCAATGCACGACAGTGCGTATGCGTGATATTTTCCGGATAAAAGAAGTGAGTGTAAGGAGCCAACTTATAAATTAATATGAATGTTGACTAACTATATGTTAGATCCGTTTTTAGAGCATGTGAAAATTGGCAAAGGTTTTGAATTTAAAACAGATATTTTTTTTTAATTTTGGCCAAACTCTTGCACGATTATTCTTTTATTTGGAATCTTTGGAATTGTCTTTCTTGAATTACTTCTCATCTGTAGAACAAAAAATATATAACTAAAAAATGCTTTAAAACCTGTGAAACAAATACAAATATTTGTTGTTATTCAATAAATCTCTACCTGAACACTAAATTTTTGCATGCTTCTAAATGAATAGGAAGTAAAAACATATTTGTTCGAGGATGTGAGAAGGAATTTGAACAAAAGATAAGAAGTGCGTGTGATCCAATGATCTTTTCTGATAGACTTAGCTTGGATTATTTATTTTTTACCTTCACTGAATTTCTGTCAGCTGATGGCTCTTGTTTTAAAGCTTCTGTTATTTAGTGACTATTTGTCAAATGTAAATTATTGTAGAAAATCGTATGAAACGGAATACGCGTTGTCATAAATCATTCAATGGGAATCCCAGTTACAAATTCTGTGCATGCAAATCAATTGCTCAATTGTTTCAATTGAAGCGTAGTCAATACAATAAAATATATGCCCATCCAATTCGTAGACCTGACACGCTGCTCATCCAGGGCGAACCAGGCACAACAAACAAGTTGCTGCCCATAAATAAATATCGTATAAGCCCAGTGAAGCCCTTCGTTAAAAAGAGTCGGAAAAATAAAGGCGAAACAATAATCGCACATAGAATATAAATTTCTGTTCGCTGTATCACAATAAACTTAATTTGCAAATTCAATTTAAATAATACCACACAGTGGGCCTCGCTAAAAAAATACAAATATTTCCATACATGAGTGTGCTGCCCATATGTATGTATGTTCGTGTATATTGAAAGTATATCGCGAATCTGCAGTTGGTCGTTTCCATATAAAACATCACCGCAACAAATTCAATTGTCTGGATTTAGTTTTGTGCCAGCTGGTTTTGTTTTGCCTTCGCGTAGGATTAAATTTGTTTAAATGGAAAAAATTGTTAAGAATTGGAATTGCTGTCTCTGTGATATACTCTTTAAAGGGGTAACATATATAAAAGCACAGTAGTCACCTCATGATGGGCATATGCTCATGGCAAATCACTAACAATAAGCTTATGCCATCCATGTGATCACTGCATTTGGTAGGGTGTCTCTTAATCGACCACTTTCGAAAAAAGCTTCTTTTATAGCTCGAACCAAGGCAGAAGGAAGCATTTCCGATCCCATAAAGTACATAAATTCGTTTATTTCAAAAGAATATATATTCTTAAAAATAAAACCTATACTTTTCGATTAAAATTTTCCCTGTGTCTTGAGTCGTGTTCAAAAGACAATTTCATCCAGTGCACCATGTAGAAACTTTTTGCAGCTGCAAAAATTTAATTAAATTTAATGCTTGAATTATTTTAATTTCCTTCGGACGCCAACCGTGTCCAGCACAAATTAATAAACGACAAAGGCACGCACGCACCTCTGACTATAAACCTGCATGGCTTCAGCTGTTGCTGCAAATGACGAGGTCGATTTGGTTGCTGCACTGGCTGCCACGATGGTGACACATGTATTAGAATCTCTATGGATTGCCAGGGCACAAATGGAACTGACAACTTGTCGCATTGGCCGTGCTGGGTAAGCGGAAATTAAAAGAGGGCAAGCTCAATACACTGGACATTGCTTAGTTTCTTTTCATTTATTGGTGTTGCATGAAATTGTGTAATGTATTACTTAGAGCCTTAAAAATCAACTTAATATTCAAATTAATATGCATACGAATTAAATTCGTGCGGGGCTACCCTTTAAAACATTCTAAAACGCAACGACAAAAACCTGATTCGCAGTTTGCTTCACACCTTTAGAAATGCATTTAAGTGTTAATTTTATTATCTTAATCTAAGCTAAGCTTCTCAACTAATAGTATTGTCTGCTGCTGAATCGATAACCCTTTAACGAACACAGCACAAGCAGAATACAACAAAATTAAGCCTAAAGTGAATCTGGAACAGCAATAAATTCTATCCGAAATCTTTCATTTCAATATAAATAACGAAATACCTATAAGTATATAAAGACGGTTTGTTGTAAGTTAATTTAGATCACTTGAGGGTCGCATTGTGAGGTATGTTGAACACTTCAATACTATAATGGGCTTTTCATTGTATGCGAGAGTAGCCCATTGCTACTGCCACCATATTGCATAGATATTCGATTGTAAATCTCCATGGATTCACAGTTCGCTGTTGTAGACATCTTATTCCATATTTTGTAGCCACTGTGATTTATTTGTCAGATTAGTTTTATTTTCATTTGATTCAGTCATTTGGGTGATTTCAAATTCTATTCACTATATTCGGCCATCCACACTATCATATGCTCAAGATTTTAATATTCAATGCAATATCAATACTTTTATATCAGTCATGAAACCAATGCTATTGCCAAAACATTTGGACGACCTGATCGATACATTGCTTGCCTGGAAGTTCGATAAGCGTATAAATGTGCCGGAAGTAGACATCTTTAAGCTTTTACAGATTGCACGTGGTGTATTAATAGAGGAGCCAATGCTTCTGGAGATAGAAGCCCCAATAAATGTGCTAGGCGACATACACGGTCAGTACGGGGATATGCTTCGCTACTTTGACTCAGCAGGCCATCCACCAAAAGCGAGTTATCTCTTCCTTGGGGATTACGTTGATCGTGGCAAACATTCTGTGGAGACGCTAACCCTATTATTGGCCTACAAGGTCAAGTTCCCGTTTTCCATGTTTCTGTTGCGCGGAAATCACGAATCGGCCAGCATCAATCAAGTGTACGGGTTCTTCGATGAGTGCAAGCGCCGCTTCACAGTACGACTATGGCGGTGTTTTGTGGACACATACAATTGCATGCCCGTGGCGGCCATTATTGGTAACAGGATATTCTGTTGTCATGGTGGCCTGAGTCCACTGCTGCATGATTTCAATGATATACGCAACCTGTCACGGCCATGCGAAATCAAGACAAATGGCCTGCTCTGTGATTTGCTCTGGGCCGATCCTGATCCGGCCGTCGTTGGGTGGGCCAAGAACTCACGGGGCGTAAGTTTCACTTTTGGCGCTGACATTGTCATACAGTTTATCGCTCGGTTTAACCTCGATTTGGTTTGCCGCGCCCATCAAGTGGTAGAGGATGGTTATGAGTTTTTCGCCAAGCGCCAACTTATAACCCTCTTCTCTGCGGTCAACTACTGTGGCGAATATGACAACGCCGGCGCCATGATGTGCGTTGATGAACTTCTAAATATTACGCTGGTTGTAATGAAGCCGAAGAAACGCGAGGGGGAAGTCAAATTCACTGCCCTTGTGGAGAAAGCGCCGGAAAAAATGAAAAAATAGATGGATACTACCAGTTACAAGTATTCTACATTTACCAAGGGATCGCATAGCTACATTGGTGCTGGACGTGTTGGTCGATAAATAGAATGGACTATCCTGGCGACCTGATAAACTGTCTACATGGAATAAACCAATATGAAATGAGTACTAAGTATATAACGCTCTCAACGAGTAAAGAGATATTTGGCACTGATTTTAGTTAGTACGTAGGCGAATTGGTCTGTATTGTCTCCGGCATGTGATCATAGAAGGTATACATCATCTTGTCAGAACTCTTCATTTCAAATACATCAAAAACAAGTATTAAATACATTAAAAAAAAAATATATAAAAAATATTAAAAATACAAAAATAAACGGATTGGATCAATGATTAAAAGTGTTTTACACATGTTCTATCCAAATATTAATGAGATTATAAGAATACTCGAGACCGGGCCTCGGCAGCAGGAACGCACCATCAACCTGGCCAAGGGTGATATTCAGGCGGTATGCAGAATGGCACGCGAAACCTTTATGAATGAGTCGATGTGCTTAGATATAAGTACACCGATCTGCATTGTTGGTGATCTGCATGGACAATTCGAGGATCTATTGCGAATATTCAAGAACAAGGGGTCACCCCCGCATCAACGATATCTTTTTTTAGGCGATTATGTAGATCGAGGCAAAAACTCCGTGGAGACCCTGACGCTGCTGCTCTGCTATAAGATTAAGTATCCGGAGACCGTCTATTTGCTGCGCGGCAACCACGAGAGTCCAGACCTCAACATGACGTACGGGTTCTTCGATGAGTGCAAGCGACGTTATTCTACGAAACTCTGGAAAAGCTTTGTGGACTGTTATTGCTGTATGCCAGTGGCGGCCATTATCTCGAATCGCGTCTTTTGCTGTCATGGGGGCTTGAGTCCAAGCTTGACAAGTATTGACCAGATCAACAGTATTCAGCGACCCACTGATATTCCGGAAACAGGCGTACTGTGTGATCTACTTTGGTCTGATCCAGATCGCAGCTATGGCTGGAACAAGAGTACTCGCGGAGTTTCCTGGGTATTTGGAAGCGATGTCGTGGACAAGTTTTTGGTACGCAACGACTTCGATTTAATTTGCCGCGCCCATCAGGTTGTCGAGGATGGCTACGAATTCTTTGCCAAGCGCCAGCTGGTCACCATTTTCTCGGCGCCCAACTATTGTGGCGTTTTTGACAATGCTGGTGCCACCATGTACATCGATTGCAATCTGATAATCACCTTTGACATCTACCAAGGCAGGGCATTAAGAAGAACGTCTATTCCTGACGCGGTCATATCAGGTGTTAAACGTTTAGCAAGATCGTTAAATTCCTCTCTTTCACGCGAATCAAGCTTGAATAGATAAGAATTACGCGCGCTGCTAGCTATTCATCATGATATATATTTATATATATATATATACATAGAAATATATGATATGTATATATATATATATATATATTTATATATATATATAAATATATATCATATATCATTTATATATATATAAATGTATTGGGAGATTGAATTGGTTGGCGACGGTCAAAATTTGTAATATGCAAGGGTGTCATTAATAAACCGAAATGGTCTTATTATAAACCAATAACTCATTGATTATATATTTGAATTGCAAACTATGGTATATTCACTTAAGTGCACAGTGTTTTTCATGCAAGTGCGTCATCATGCTTTATGACCTTGGCATTTTGAAATCGTGAAATGCTTTCCTTGACAGTTTATTGTTATCATTGTAAAATATGTTATTATTGTGTTAAAATAAAGAAAAAGAAAAAATAAATATATGTATATATATATATATATATATAAAAGCACACAAAACTGGCATGAAATAGTCAAAGTGCTAAGATGGGCCCGCCGAAAACTGCAAAACCCAAAAATGATAACTTGAGCTCACCAGTTTCGAGACGGAGTGATCAATCTCAAAGAAACTCGTTCATAATGGAGGTGAAATTCACTTTAATCGAGATGATATCCAGGCTCAGGTCGTTCCGCACAAGCAAGCAGCAGCGGGTTCCACTGTTCGAGCAAGATCTAATCAATTTGTGCTATGTTGCGCGAGAGACCTTTTTGGATGAGTCGATGCTATTGTATTTGGATGCACCTCTGCGTGTTGTGGGCGATGTGCATGGACAGTTTGCGGATCTGCTTAGGATAATGGAACACTGCGGATTTCCGCCGCAAGTGAGTTATTTGTTTCTGGGCGATTACGTGGATCGTGGTAAGAATTCGGTGGAAACAATAACGCTTTTACTGGCACTTAAGGTCAGGTATCCAAAAAATATATTTTTGCTGCGTGGCAACCACGAGTCGCAGTCTATAAACCGTGTCTACGGCTTTTTCGATGAGTGTAAGCGACGCTACACGATCAAGCTGTGGAAAACGTTTGTCGATTGCTACAACTGTATGCCTGTGGCAGCGATTATATCCAAACGGATATTTTGCTGCCACGGCGGCTTGAGCCAGAGGCTGATGGATCTAAGCGATATTGAATCGTTGCCACGACCCACTGATGTGCCGGACGAGGGTTTGATGTGCGATTTGTTGTGGAGTGATCCCGATCGCAAAGGCTACGGTTATTCACCCAGCGATCGTGGCGTCAGTTTTCTGTTTGGACGCGATGTGATTGAAAAGTTTTTACGTAAGTACGACTTTGACCTGATCTGTCGAGCCCATCAGGTGGTGGAAGATGGCTACGAGTTCTTCGCTAAAAGGCAACTCGTAACCATCTTCTCAGCACCTAACTACTGTGGCGTCTATGATAATGCGGGCGCCTCAATGGGCGTTGATAAGGATTTGGTTATAACGTTTGACGTGCTGCGTCCAACGGAGATCCGAAAGGGAAGTATTCGCGGCAAAGCAATAAAAATCCTATCGGGTGCTCAAAAACTCAATCTTTAGTCAGAATCTGAACTGAGGTGGAGCCTGGCGGCATTTGTCAGTACTAATCGTCACGTCAACATTTGTACCATTTTATCAATAGAAGTAGATGCTGCCCATTTTGTATGTTTCCAACCGTTAACATTGTGATACCTAGTCAAATTCTCGTTGTATGCTGCACGAGTCGCATCCGCATCGGAGTTTAAAGCGGAGCTCGAAATGGCGGTGCAAGCAACGCAGTCGCAGCGTCTTTCAATAGTCGGGGAAGCAGCAAACATCGACCAAATTATATTGAACATTATTGACGTCCGGCGAATCAAGCAACTGCATCTTACCGAGACGGATATTCGTTCGCTCTGCCTGCGCTGTAGAGATGTTTTTCTTCAGCAGCCCATGTTGCTGGAGCTTTCAGCGCCGGTTAAGATTTGCGGCGACTTACATGGCCAGTTTACGGATTTATTGAGGATGTTTGACTACGGCGGCTATCCACCCGCCTCAAACTATTTGTTCCTAGGCGATTATGTGGACCGTGGTAAGCAATCCATTGAGACGCTATGCCTGTTGCTCGCATACAAGATCAAGTTCCCACAAAACTTCTTTGTTCTGCGTGGAAATCACGAAAGTGCTGGCATCAACCGCATCTATGGATTCTATGATGAGTGTAAGCGGCGTTATACTATCAAATTGTGGCGAACCTTTGTGGACTGCTATAACTGCATGCCGGTGGCTGCCATTGTGGACACGAAGATTTTCTGCTGTCATGGTGGGCTCAGTCCTGAGCTGAACAACATGACCCAAATAACTAAGCTACCGCGACCGTGCGAGGTCCCTGACAAGGGTCTGCTCTGCGACTTGCTATGGGCCGATCCGGATGCCAAGATTATGGGCTGGAGCGATAATGATCGTGGAGTTAGTGTCACATTCGGTGCAGATACGGTGGGCAAGTTTGTGCATCGCTTCAAGTTTGATTTGATCTGTCGTGCTCATCAAGTAGTCGAGGATGGGTACGAGTTCTTTGCCAAGCGCCAGCTTATAACAATCTTCTCGGCCCCCAACTACTGCGGCGAGTTCGATAACGCAGGTGCTATGATGTCCGTCGATGAGACGCTTATGTGTTCGTTTTTTGTTCTGAAGCCGTCCAAGAAGTCGGGTCTACGCAAGGTACAGACCAAGGTTTAACCTTTGTGATCTGAAGGCAATATTGATGTGATGTGTTTCTGTGTGAGCTACAAGTCGTATAAATTATTTTGTAAATATCTTTTTATTGGAATTTTTAATGTGAATGGGGTGCTTCATATGATCAATTGGCTGCAAATCTTGATAAAAGCTAGATGCTATGTAAATTGTTACAAATGCGAAATAGTAGAGATATAGAAAAGGAGATGGATTTTGGTTTGCCAGTTTTTTATTACTACTTATTAAACGTTGCTGTTAAAGCTGATATGCTAATTTGGGAAGCGGCATCAAAGATGCCATGTACAGGCAGAAGGATGCATCTTCGACCCCATAATATATACATATTCTTGATCAAGCAAGTGCGACGTTTTTTTATACATTTTCCATTTTCAAAAACTTTACTTTTATTTAAAAACAATCATTAAACACAAAAGAGCAAACAAAACAGGGTGTCACCTTGATTGAATCGCAGACACAAGCTTGGTTAAAGATCTTGCAGCAGTTGGGTCACCATGTTGCATGCAACAGATTGGCCCGCCCTGTGGCCGTCAGCGTGCAACATCATTGCAATTTATTTTCCATTGCCTGGTGTTGCACTTAAACATTTTAATCAAATGACAGAGCTGAAAATAATTTATTTGTTGCACATAATTTACAGCATACGAAGCGCTGGCTTGCTGCCGGGTTGGCTGGCGGGGATGAGGTCCAGTTTTGGTTGCGAATGCGACGCTTTATTAAATTTGTTTGCTCTCTGTTGGCGCGGACATGAACAGAAAACAGAAACAGGCAGTCGCCAGACGCCAGCCGCCAGTTGCCCATTTGGCAATTGCCGGCATTTGCAGTTGGTGAACTAATAGATTTTAAATGTGGCTGTCGCTGTCAGCAACTGAGTGGCGAGTGGTGGGCAGTATGCACTGGGCGGCGGCAGCAGCAACCACTTCTATAAACGGGGCTAAATAAATTGGTCAACAACAGCTGGGTTAACGGGCGGTTTGTTGTGACAGCTGCATGGAGTTATCAACTGTGATTGCGATTAAAGCAACAACACGGCCTTGGCAGGTGCTGTGATCGATCATTTCGTGGAATCAAAGATTGTTGGATGTGGGTAAATTCTAATTTTACACAGAACAAATATCTAGCTCAAGACACGCATTTGTGTACTTCATTCGTAAATAAAAGCGCGAATTACGATTAAACGTCTTAGGTTGTATGTGATTTTAGATTATGAAGACTATCGTCTATTGGTATTGCAGGGGCGGTATATTAGTTTTATTGAGTCAACTATTTTAGTTTTATTTTTTTTTTTAATATATATTACTGTTACAGCATATGAGCTCGTAGCGCGAGCTGGGTTGGTGGATTCAGCGTATCTCCTAGTCGGGAAAACCCGACTAGAGCTTCTTACTTGTTTAACTTAAATACTTTTATTTTGCCTTACTGTAAATCCTAAAATTTATAGCATCAAAGGTCACCGTTTCGAGCTATCTACTTTACTGTCTTGAAATCACAAACCCAATTAAAAAAAATACCCTTTCAAACAATTTGATCGATATACTGGTAGCAGAGTATTAGGCATATGGATACTTCATGTTTGTTAAATTGTGAAAAGTGTAAACACATGTATATACGAATTTTTACATTATTTGTTTACAACCAGGCTAGACACAGAGAAACGTGTGTACCAAACTCTTTCAATTCCCAAAACTCCACTCGCATTGCCTTTAGGGGCTAGACGTAAAAATCTTGTGCGTCTGCCACGTCAATTTCGTGCTCGAATAAAGTTGAAAAGTGAAACTTGTCAACCGGGAACTGTGCTTACCCACCCCTTGCTTCTAAGGAGTTTTGAAGAAATTGCCAAACGCAACCATTGGAAATAAAATGCAAATGGAAATTGCCGTAGTTTAAGATTAAACTCATCATGGGCCTGAACAAAGCACAAATTGAAATTTTTGTACAGTCCAAATTGTAGAATAATAGAGCTCACATAAATGCGAAACTTGGGTGCACGTAAGCTCCCCCTAAACGAATTTTAGTTCAATTTGTCACTTTCTATTGCCATCAAGATTAGCTACAACTGACAATTTGTGTGGTCAACTGGCGGCACTCTATGAACTTATAGCAATTCGAATAAAAAGACCAACAAAAATACTTGTCGCCTTGCCATTTGATTTGCTTTTAATTGCTGGACATGGCAATAAGCAATTACGCTCAGATTTATGGGTGGCAATTTAGGGGACAGCAATTTTATCCCAAATACAAAGCTACTGGGCAAAATCGCGATAGGATAAAGAAGCCTAAGATAAATCGTATATGACCATGAGTAACATAAAGCATTGCTCTTTGATGGCATTAGCTTGCCAGCTTCTATTTTAATATCGTGTCATATTGTCGAAAGCTTCATTTGTGTTCTTACGAAAAAGGGGGAGAAAAAACTTGATCCGTACAAAGGAAGTTTATATTAGCCGCGTCTAAGAGGTTGGAAGCTAAAATTTGTAATGCAGTTACCTTGCTTTAAGAGACTTAAGTTTACGCAACTGTGTAAAATTTTGTGGAAATACCCATGAATGAAGCATTTATGCTTACAATTCGATCGATTTTTTTTTATAACTGATTGACTCAAAACTATAAGTAAATTAGGAGTACGGGCGAATCATAACACAGGAGCTGTGGGTAAATCCGCTGAAATTAAAGAAAAAGTACTCAGTATATGTATATGATTCTAAAATATTGTCGTTTTAATTTAAGCTTTTTCGTATAGAATATATTCTATGTACATCTATTTAACTATGAGCTATGGCAAGTAAGTGATAGGTGGATGGGGATCAGGTGCTACTAAAGCCGCCAGCCGCTGGCTACCAGGCCGCAGAGGAGCGTCAATGCAATTCCAAAGCCACTGAGCGCAGCGGAGCCGTTAAACTTGACCGTGTTGCAGCCATCTGTATTGCACACATTGCAATGGTCCTCGTCATCGAGCTCACACTCAAGTTGGCTGCCGCAGCCGCGCCGTATGTAGTTGTCGGAGCCACGGGTAGAGACACAAGTGTCGTCAGCGGCATAGATGGGGCAAATGGCCAGATGATTTGGTTCTTCTTCGCAGTTGGAACTGGTTGAATCACAAATGTGACACCTCCGCCGATTGGCCGGGAAGATGTCTACGTTACACTTTTCACCGGCGCAGCCGGCACAGGTGCCATTGGCCACACAGGCGGTGCCCTCGGTGCTGCTCAGACTGCTCAGGCAGCCACGTATGGTGTGTCCATTTTCTATTCGGGTGACGCAGTCCGCCAAGGGTGCATGGCAGGTTTGCGTGCTGGACACGTCAGTGGGCGACTGGGCACAGTCGGGCGTCTTGCTGGAGTCACAGGCCAGACAAACGTCACTGGAAGGCAGGCGACTCAGTTCGTTGCAGTCGTTGCTTGTGCATTCATGCAACAGATTGGCTTCACGCCAATGCTCCAGATCGCTGCTGTTTTGGCTGCTCGCGCAACCCATAAGTTCGACGGCACCATCGTTGTACTTGGCGAAGCAAAAGTCGTCCTTCTCATAGGCGATGCAGGATTGTGTATGGCTTGAGCTGCAGTCACTGCTGCCAGTGCAAACGTGGCAGCTCAAACGATCTGCCGGGAAGGGGAATGTGTTGCACTTTCCGTCCTCGCAGGCAGCGCAGTTGTTGCCGCTTTCGTCACTGGTGCAGGCAACACGATCGAATGCCTCCTTGTCGTCCAGACAGCTGCGTAACACATCCTTGCCCACCAATGCCACCATACACTTGCCCACACACTGGCGCGTGGCAAGGTCGGCGCTCTGTGGATAGGTAATGCACTCAGTATCTGTCGCCGAGTTGCAGAAGACACAGCTTGTGTAATCAGCCAGGTTCCAGGCATCGTTGCATTCGTTGGACTTGCAAGTGAAGCAGAGCTCGGGGTTTTGCCGACAGTAGAGATCCTCATAATCATCCACATCGTCGGCACAGCCGCGTCTGCGTACCGTGCTGCCGTCCTGTTCAAACACCGTCTTGCAATCCTGCTCAGCGTTCAGTGTACACTCCACGGCCGGGCCCAGGGAGCTGTGACAATGATCGCCCTCGCAGCTGTGACATTTCAAGGGCAAGTCTTGGAATAAACCATGCTGACCATCATCCACACGATTGGCCAAATCAATTGAGTTGCACTTGCTGCCAACGCAGTTGCGGCAGCTGCGGTAGTCAGTGGCGTTGCAGCCAATCGAGCTGCTGCAGCCACGCGTAGTTACATTGTCTTCCAGCCGGGTCTGGCAGGTTTCCGTATCGCTGACCCAGGCGCATACCGATGTTTGGGTGGGATTGGAAATGCAACTGCTGTCGTCCGCCGAGCTGCAACTGTAGCACTGCAGCCGATCAGCCGGGAAAATCTAGGGAGATGAAATGTTCGATTATTAACCTGCTCTCTGGCGACAAACTGGGATCCAGTTAAACGTACCTCGCGATTACAGCCGTCCTCGGCACACACCTCGCAATTGCTATCGTTGCCTAGTAGACAGGCCGCAAACTCGGACTGTGGCAAGTCAAACAAACAGCCACGAATTGTTGCACCATCTGAAAAGAAAATATAAATAAGCTAAGTTTTATCAAACTAGTTTTCAGACTTGCCATTTTCCAGCTTGGTCACACAGTGCGTATGCGGCAGCTGGCTACATGTCTTAAAGCTGTCCACTGCCAGGGGATTGGTGACACACGTGGCATCCTCACGAGAATCGCAGACGGCGCACTTGACGGGAACTTGAAGCTGGGGTGTGTTGCAGTTCTCGCCTTGGCAAACAGCAACGCGCTTTGTCTTGATCACACTTTCCAGATCTTGGTTGCGGAAAGAGCTCAGACAGCCCGCCTGTTTGATGCTGTTCTCCTCGTCAATCCACAGGAAGCAACTGTCGTTAGGCTTGTAAATCTCGCATTTCTTGGATTCGGGCTCCTCGCAGTCTTCGTTCTCACAGTGGTAGCAGCTTAAGCGATCCGCGGGCACAGCATGTACATTGCAGTCGTCCCCCGAGCAGGACACGCAATTGGCATCATTACCAGCCGAGCAGGACAATTGATCCTCCGGCTCCTTATCATCTAAGCAAGTGCGTATGAGATCCAAGCCAGCCTCGGAGCTGCCATAGAGCGCTGACATGCAGTCGCCCTGGCATTGGCGGCGCTTGTGTGCCGTGCTTGTCGGCTCCGACAAGCAGGATGTGCTCTTGAATGAGTCACAGTATATGCAGCTCTTGTATTGTGATATCGAAGTTGCATTGTTGCAGTTGTTGGACTTGCACAGCGGACACTTGGCGGAGTTGGTCGCGCAGTAGCTGACAAGCTGCTCATCTTCTTCAATGGCATCTTGACAGCCACGACGGACCACCACACCGGCCTCATCGAACACTGTTATACAATCCTGCTCGTTATTGTCCGCACAACGCTCAGAGCTACTGCTGCTGCTGCTGGTCTCTTGACAGTCAGCGCCCACGCAGCTAAGACAGGTTAGAGGTAGATCCTGCCACTTGCCGTGATTATCATCTGAAGCAGCAGCCAGATCAGCAACGTTGCAGCCATCTCCCTCGCAGATGACGCAGGTCTTGGAGTTGGGCTCACAGCTTAGCGAGCTTGCGCAGGCTCGGTAGGTAATGCCGCCGCGCAGATTAGTCACGCAGGCATCTCCAGCTACATAGACGGGGCACACAGACAGGCTGTTGGGCGTTGACTCACAGTTGGCATCGCTTTCAGAGTTGCAAATATGGCACGAGGTTCGATCTGCGGGATATACCTCCTTGTTGCACGAGTCGCCTAGGCAGGAAGCACAGCCTGTTGCGGTGCCATTGTAGCAACCAAGGAACTCATCCTCCTCCAAGCTGGACAGGCAACCACGCTCTGTGGAGCCGTCACTCAGTACACGTGAATAGCATTCTGGCAGACCCGTTAACACGCAGCTGGTAGCGCTGCTCACACTGCTAGGATTCACGGCGCAGTTGCGATCTGTGCGCGAACTGCACAAGAGGCAGCTTTGGGGCTCGAGCAGTGAATCCAACGTGTTGCAATCCTTCTCCGCGCAGGTCAGCAGTCGCTTCGAGCGCTGCAGCAAGTAAATCTCCTCATGACTGTGTTCACTGAGGCAGCCCTGGGCAATGACGGAGCGCTGCTCATCGAACTCTATGTAGCACTCATCTGTCTCGCGATAGTTGGCACAACTGGCCGGTTGTGCGTCCTGACATTCATCGCCGCGACAGCTCAGGCAGCTGTGGCGTGTGGTCAACAGATCCTTATTGTTGCACTTCTCGTTCTCGCAGCTGGCACAAAACTTGTTGGCGTCCGTGTCGCAGGTCTGGCGATCCTGCTCCTCCAAGTCATCGAAACAGTTGCGCACTAGTGCGTAGCTGGGATCGCTAGTTTCACCGAAGAGTGGCCGGAAAGCGGACATGCAACTCTGGTGGCACGGACGAGTCTGGCTGATCGTTGTGGCATCTCGTACACAGTCCGGATTCACGCTGGAATCGCACACCAAACACTCCACATAGTCCTTGAGACTGTCCGCCACATTGCAGCCATTGGAATTGCAGCGCGGACAATTGTCAGGCTGTTCATCACAGTAGCTAGACGTGGTCGTCTCTAACGCGCTGCTACAACCACGCGCAGTCACGGAATCGCCGGTCGCATCAAAGACCGTAACACAATTGTCGCTGCCCTCGCACTTTTCCAATTGGCCGCCGCCGGAGCTGCATTCGGAGGCACTGGCGCAGGTTAGGCAGCTGATGGGTGGCTCTTGCCAAATGCCCGGCCAGCCGTGGATATTCAGGCGCTCCAAATCGATTGTGTTGCAAGCATTGTCACTGCTGCAGACGCGGCAGGTGCTGGTATTGCTGGGATCCGTGCAGCTTAAGCTGGAGCTACAGCCGCGATAGGTGACATCGTTCTTCAACGTGGTCACACAAGTGTCCTCGGCATCATAAACAGGGCACACTGCACTGCTGCTGGGAGAAGATGAACATTCGGGCGTAGTCGCAGAGTCGCACTGATGACAACGACGACGATCCGCTGGGAAAACGCTGAGTCCATTGCAGTTGGTGCCGGTGCACACCTCGCACTTCTCCGAGGTGCCCATTATGCATTCGTAAAAGTCACTGCTTTCCAAGTTGGACACGCATCCACGTGTTGTTGTGCCCGCCGCGTCAATATGCGTGACGCACTGGGTGTAGGGCAAAATGGAACAGATGCCGGTGGACAGCAATGTGTTGGGATTGGTAGCACAGCGCGGATCGGACAGAGAGTTGCACTGTAGACAGTTGTTAGCACCAGGTAAGATGTCGGGGTGGTTACAATTCTGGCCCTCACAGAGCAACAGACGCTTCTGGGCTACTAGCTCGTTGACGACCTGCGTCTCAAAGTCACTAGCACAGCCCATACCGATGATGCTATTGCTGTCAAATGCAAGGTAGCATTGGTCCTTCTCCTTATAGGCGACGCACTTGGACTTAACCATGTCCTCGCAATAGCTATCTGTGCAAGTGTAGCATTCTTGGGGCGTCTCTACAATATCGCCGCTATTGCACAGCGTTCCGGTGCAGGCCGAGCAACTGGCATGATTGCCAGCTGCACATTTTTCACGGTCGGCCTCCTCCAGGTCGTCGAGGCAGCCACGGGTGGGCAGCAGCGCTGAGTCCACTGCAGAGCTGCGCGGATACAAGCCAGTCATGCACTGTCCCTGACACTTGCGTGTCTTCGTGGGCGTCTCCCAGCCGCAGCTAGCATCCAGCTCAGCATCGCAATGGTAGCAGTCTACATAGGATGTCAAGCTGTTGGCATTGTTGCAGCTGTTCGACTTACATTGCAAGCACTTGTCGGCATTGGCCTCACAATAGGTGGCGTGTTCTGTCAGGACAGCGTCGCTGCAACCGCGAGCTATCACATTGCCAGCCTCATTGAATACAGTGGAGCAGAGCTGCTTGTTGTTGCCCTCACAGGTGGTTGGTGTTGTGACGCTGGCACAGCTCTCTAGGTCTGAGCACACCAGACAGCTCAGTGGCAAATCCTGCCACTTGCCTGGCTCACCCACGTAGTTGGCTGCCAAATCCACCACGTTGCAGTTGTCGTTCTCGCAGACGCGGCAACTCGCCACCTGGCTGGCATCGCAGTAGATCTCCGACTGGCAGCCGCGGCGAGTCCGACCCTTCTCTAAGCTGGTTACGCACACATCGCCTGCCTCATAGAAGGGACAATAGCTGGCATAGGTTGTTGGGTTCTTTTCGCAGTTCTCGTCGTTATTGGAGTCGCAGCGCAAACAGCTCTGCCAGTCCTCGGGATACACTCCCTTGTTGCAGTTATTTTCATCGCAAATCTGGCAAGTGGAGCTCGTATCGCTGATGCAATCGTCAAAGAGTACATCGTCCGTGTCCATAAGGCAGCCACGGTGCAAAACGCCATCTATTGGTGAACAGAAAACATGAATACAATTGTCACCTCGTATCGATCTTGTCAACCTATAGTATTTGCATTTTAAATATTGGGTTGTCGAAAAAATCGATTTAAACACATTGTTTGAATTGCTTCTAAACCTAGAGCTGCCCTCTCGATAAATTGGTAGAACTATACTAGAAAATGTATAAGCTGAAAATTAAACATTTTTCAAAATGTTTATATTTTAATTGTACTTAATGAAATAATTGATTCTTCTGGATGGGTTATAATTTGGGGGTAAAGCGATTTTATTATCGCCCATTGTTCATAAAGGAGCGATATGTTAAAAAAAAAAGAGACCGATTTTATATGATTTTATAAATATCAGTATCGGTCTGCTTAGTCGGGATAACTTGAAAATCTTAAACTTTTCGAAGCATTATCAATTTTTTACCGATTCTTTTTATAGAGCGTAGTTGACTGCTGGTAAGCTTTTGCTTAAATGTTATGAGAATGATAAAATTTGTTAATACCTAGTTAGCCCAAGAATTTACAAAAAAAAATGAAAAGTTTCTATTTTAAAATTTAATTTTGACTAATGACAGCTATATGGTAATGCGATCAAGCCTATTCCGAGATTATTTTGCATAGAAACAGACGTCTGTTGATTCTTATCAAGAATTCTTATACCTTGTGGGGTCGGGAAGGGGGTTGTGTATGGTAAAATTAAAAATTAAAAATTCGGACAAAATGAACCCCCTGGCTGATACCTACCATCGGAGATGTGAGAGTAGCACTGCGGGTAGAGGTAATGTTGACAGACGGCAGCGAGGCTGGAATCGCCAGCAATGCAATTGGTCTCGTCCGTGGAGTTACAAACATTGCAGGAAACGCCATCCAAATTGAGCACATCTTTGACATTGCAGTTTTCGCTGCTGCAGAGATGCAAGTCGCGTCGATTAGCTTGGAGGAAGGACCTCTCTAGATCACTAGCACAGCCCATACTCTCGATACTGCGGTCGCCGACATGAATATAGCACTCGTCCTCAGTCCGATATGAGGTGCAAATTCGGGAGCTCACTTGATCGCATTGCTCATCGTCGCAGTAGTTGCAGCTTAAGCGATTCTCCGGTACGTCGTTCTTATTACAGGCGGCACTGCTGCAGGCAACACAGTTATCCAAGCTGCCGGCTGCACAAGCCGTACGATCGTCATAATCCAGATCGTCCAGACAGCCGCGCGCCAATTCCAATGGTGAGTCCAGCTCCGATCGGTTGCGTGGATACAGTCCTGTGAAGCAGCTGCCTTGACAAGATACTTTGCGAGAAATGTCGCCGACACTGCGTACACATTCAGCCTGATCGGTCCCATCGCACATGAGGCAGTCTAAATAGCTGTCCAGCTCCTTAGCATTATTGCAGCCAGTCGACTTGCAGAACTTGCAACTGCCGGGCGTCTCATCGCAGTACTGCGTGAGGTCCGCATCGGCGTACAGCTCATCGGTACAGCCGCGCAGCACCACGGAACCGTTGCTAGCGAACACTGTAGCACAGTTCTGGTTATTGTTGTTGGCACACTTTTGCAGCAAACCCAGACTTGAGCCTTGGCAGGCTGGACCCTCGCAGGTATAGCAATTAATTGGCGGGGTCACCCATTTGCCCGGATAGCCAATATTCCAGATCTCTAGATCGACCACATTGCAATTGTCGCCGGCGCAGGAGCGGCAATACTGCTTGTCGGAATCATCGCACTGGAATTCCGTCTGGCAACCGCGATAAGTGGCACCATCCACCAATTTAACGCTACAGCCCTGGGCTTCATCATAACGCGGGCAGACGCTGGCGGCGTTGGGCGCTGAGCCGCAATTTGGATCCTCAACTGAGTTACAGCGTTGGCAGCGACGACGATCAGCCGGGTAGATCTCCGTGTTGCACAGGGTGCCTTCGCACACCTCACAATTGCCTTCGCCCTTCAGGCACGCCCTCAACTGACTGGTAGCCAAGCTACTTACACAGCCGCGCTGCGTGGAGTTATCTGAAATGTGAAGGGCCATGTAATAAGAATTCATTCAGAAACTATTGCAAACTATGGGCATCTCATTCAAATAGTTGAACTCACCGGACAGCACACGCGTCATGCAGCCAGTGTTTGGCAGCACGCTGCATGTATCGAACTGGGTGATTTTGCTCGGGTTGGAGGCACAATTTTCGTCATCAAGGGAAGAGCAGGTGGTGCATTCGTTGGGCTTTGGAATATTTTCAAAGGAATTGCAGTTGTTCTCATTGCAATAGACTAAGTATTCCAGATTTTTATCAATAAAATCCTCTTCAAGCTCGGACAGACAGCCAAGAGCCGTTACCGATGCCGTGTCATCAAACAGCATGTAACAGCGATCCGTAGGACTATAGTGGAGGCAAGCAGCCATATTTGGATCTTCGCAGTCTTCATTGCCATTGCAGATGTAACAGCTGAGCGTACTTAGACTGAGATCGTTTCCATTGCAGGCATTGCCCGTGCAGGCCACGCACTCACTATCGGCGCCTATGGCACAGCGTTCTTGGTCCTCGGGATCCTTGTCGTCCAAGCAGCCACGCACCAGCTCATAAACATTGGTTCCATTTTGTGGTCTATACGCCGTCATGCACTGACCATTGCACTGACGCCTAGCAGTCACAGCTGTGGGATTTCGGACGCACTCGCTATTCTGACTGGCATCACAGTAAATGCACTCAGTGTAGCTGTCCAGCGAGGTGGCACTGTTGCAGCTATTTGAATTACAGTTGTGGCATTTGCCGGCATTGGCATCGCAATATGCGCTGAAGGAGGCCTCCACGACATTGCTGCAGCCGCGTGCATTGACCGCGCCCGCTGCATCAAATACTGTCATGCAATATTCATCGTTGCCGGCGCATGCAATCTCCTCCAGACTGCTGGCTGCGCATGTCGTCGTGTCATCGCAGCTCAGACAGCTCAGCGGCAGCTCCTGAGCCCACTGCCCGGGCCGACCATCGGCTCGTCGTCGCAAGTTATCCGTATTGCAGTTGTTGCCCACACAGCGCTGGCAGCTCTTACTATCACTGCTTATGCAGTCCAAGCTCTCGCCGCAGCCACGTACTGTGTTGCCGTTCAAGTCGAGGGTGGTCACACATGTCTGATTCACGGAATGCTTCACGCAAACGGTGGCAGCATTGGGCGCCACTTCGCAATTGCCATCAACGCTAGAGTCGCAAACGTGACAGGTTAGGCGTTCCAAAGGTTGCAGCTATAGAAGAAACATTTTTATATTGCCATAATTACAATCAAAGAAAAATCTACATAAACAGTCCCAAGCTGAGCCCCAACCAATTAAAAGAAAAATGTTGGGATATTGATGGGAGGTCAAAAAATAACCTAATAACTAAAATCAGATATATTCTTTTAAAGAAATAATCAGTCAAAAATCCCCGGATTATAAAAAGTTTTTTGTCTTCAATTTGAATTATCTAATCTCAATTAATCTCATATATCAAACATATTATATTATTTGAAAAGCAAATTGTGACAAGATATGTGATATGCACACAAGCTGACGACTTCGCTAAGTTACTTTTTGCATTCGGAACGCATCAATTTTCGATCTATTTGAATTGCTTTGAATTGGTTGTGTGGAATTTCTAAGTAGTCAAGCAGTTTTGAATATATCCACATTTTTTTCAAATATCGGGCAGCTGCCAGTTTGAAAGGTAACCCAGATAACATGATTCAAATTTTGTATATAATAAGGATATATAATTTAATAGTAATCTGCAGATATGCACTTACTTCGACATTGCAGTCATCGCCCGTGCAGGTGACGCACTTGGTGGCATTGTTTCCAACCAGGCATTCCATATAATCCTCCTCGTCCAGTGTGCTAAGACAGCCGCGTTCTGTGTGACCATCGTCGCGCAGTAGCGCATAGCAATCAGTGTTCAAAGGATGGGAGCATCCCGTTTCAGAGGTTGACAGAGCCGGCTCAATGGCACAGTAGATGTCGGTGCGGGAATTGCAAAGCTTACAGGTTTGGGGTGTGGGCAGTGCGGAAATCAGATTGCAATTCTCGCCGGAGCACGTCCAGATACGCTTTTCGCGCTGCAAGAGCGTGGCATCGCTCACATTGTACTGACTTAGACAACCTAGCTCGGTTATTTCGTCCGTCTCGTCCAGCTGTATGAAGCACTGTTCTTGGCCGCTGGCGGCAACAGCGCGGCACGTTTTAGAGTCCGGCTTGTCGCAGTTGCCATCCGTGCAAACGTTGCAGCTGCCGCGCACGCCCATCTCGACGGTGTTGCACTTGCCCGTGCCGCAGGCTACACAAGTGCTCATTGTACCTTCGGCGCAAGCTTCGCGATCATCCAAGTCCAGATCGTCCAGACAAGTGCGTACAATCTCCAACGGTGCGCCCGCCTCGCTAGTGCGCGGATACAGTGCCGTAATGCACTGCTCATTGCACTGCCGTGTCTCCGTGACCAGCTCAATGTCGTTGACACAGTGCTCATCATCTTGAGCGTCGCACACCACACAGTCGATAAGCTTGGTGTTGGTCTTCAGATTGTTGCAGCCACTGGAGCGGCACTCGTAGCATTTGGCATCCGTCTCACTGCACGTTGCCGCCAGATTGTCGCTGCAGCCTCGCTGAATGACCGACCCGCTGCTGTCGAAGACCGCCATGCAGCTCTGGGCCTCGTTGCTATCACATTTCTGTAGTAGGCCTGAGCCGGCCGAGCACTCCTCTATACTGGAGCAGATATAACAATTAATTGGACCTGTGTGCCAATTGTGTGTCCAAGCGTCTGAAAAAAATAAAAGACGTATGTTTTTTTTTTGTTTTAATCCGAATAGTAATTCTTTTGTACAGTTTTGGTGTTTAAAGCACTTTTGCAATTACTTTAAAATATTGGCAGGCTGAAATTCATTGTTGCTTGGAGACCTTCTTAATTTTTATTAACCATTTGCTGAGTCTAGACTGAGACTTGATATTGTTTTCGAACGACGAGTAAAAAAAGAAAATACATGATGAAGACCACTCTCTGCTCTCTAGCAGTTGAGATATATGACTTAAAGAAAAAAAAAAAAACTTGTTTGCATACATTTTAAGTCTTGATCACAAACCATCTAATCTGCCAATTTTAATATTTTAGCATTGTCTTTTGAGTTTGTGAAGTTTGTGAATATATATGCAAAAATATAGGGACTAGTGGAAAGTTTCAGAGGAATAAACTTTCTTTTTTTTTTTTATATGAGAGACAGCTTACGCAACACTGAAGATTTTTCTATCACCATCAGCTTGGCAACCAAGTCAGCACACGTACATACACATGCTCACACTTGCCAACTTAGCGGCTATTTGTTTCGGGGAAATATGGCCTCTGGTTGTTTATAGCCGGCAATCCAATTGCTTTATCGTTTTACCGCGTACGACCAACGTACATCGGTTATTGGCGGAGATAGCAAATATTTATATAAGTGCAACTTACACATGAAAATTCTTAAAAAATTTTAAACATGACTTTTAAAGGCAAGATAAAAGTAAAAGTTATTAATAAACATAAAAAAACTATTTTAAATTTTGATTTTACAGAATATTAAGATTTCTTAGCACCTTATCAATTAAGCAACAGCCACGAAATTCCCCATTCTTTAATCTTAATCTGTTTCAACAGTCGATAGATAATCCTTTTAAAGCTTATCAATTCGTAGAAATCATGGCTGCCCAAATACAAACTAGCACACGCGATAATCAAGGTCAACAACTATAGTAAAAATAAAAAATATTATATTTTATATTATACTTATTATCATCTTCGTATTGTAGAAAGCAAATTATCCAAGATATAATATTTATCGTAATTGCGTTAAATGTATATTTCTTTTCATACACACAGTACCGGAATAATCAATATTATTCGCATCAAGCGAACATTTTCATCCTTGTTTTTAATTTCGTCATATTTATTTTCAAAATTGGTCGACTTTGCTACATTGTCCACAGATAACACTCGTAATATGATAAAAAATTCATAATGCACTTTATAATAATATATAGGTTTGCACTAGCTAAATATCGTCCCTTGGAATATGTCCTAAAGGATATTTAAACAATTTTTTTAGTGATTTTCGAATTCCATTTAGATATTTCTGCTTTGATTTATCATTCGCGATATGTATTGATTTATCAACACCCTTGTAACAATAAATCTTGTACATTTAAGCACCACACTTGAACTAGCATATCCTTGCTAATCACTCTTGATTTGACGTACCACTTGGATTATTGGCATGTAATACCAGTAGTAGCAGGGCTACCCCTGATGTGGTCAGTCTCATGATCGATGGGTTTTACCCGACGCGTATTAACAACAAACGTGGAATCGGGCGACTAATTTTGTGGCCAGGTTCGGAGCACCTTTTATAGATTTGGCGATCGTCCGTATCACTGTGTGTTGAACCACACTTATAACCTTATATTAACGACTATGATTATACGATACTGTTGCCGAATGTCCGATAAAGCGAATTTCTGCCCGCCGTTATTTATAACACTGCCGGCCACCTTCTGGCTCCTAAAGCAAGTACGTATTTAGGTAGGGGAATTAACATAAAAAGCAAAAACAATTCCAAAGATAAGCCAAAAAGCGTGGTCTAATCACAAAATCGAGACCGATTCACTTTTATACTCGTGTAGTTCGATTTTCGTCATTTTGGCCAATTGGCGAGATAAGCCCAATAATGTAGTATGTGGATTGCAGGTACGAAACATTTATGTGCTTATATTGGTTTTTTATGCATTTTGTGGACGAAATGTAAGCGATGTGAACAAAATTTATTGTTATACTGATTCATTACACAGCTAGGAAATGCATTTAGAGGCGCAATAAGCAATTCACAATGTCGTTGCACTTAAATCTTATCACTTGATAAACAAGTTTTGTGTTTTTGGTCGATTGAAAGGGTGACAGGTTCGAAAAATGATCTCGACATTTAGCACAGCCATATGACGCATTATTTTCAGTGCCCGCACAGCTCAAAATTAAACATTCGGATTATATGCGTATGCCCGGATCAAATTATGTGTAATATTTACGCTTACTGTGACGTGGGAATTCCGAAAAATCTATATTTTTTAATAGTACTTTATTCATTTCGACTATATTGAAGCTAGACATGATATTGTGGTAAATTTTTTTAACCAAGCCCACTAATTTTTAACGCTAGAATCACCGAATTTTGCAATTCGACCACTTATTAAGCATGCTAAGGAAGTGGGCCACAACGACATCTTATCAAGCGATGTATCGATGTAATTTTCTGTACTTGTTGTTACCAAGTGTATTCTATCGCAAGCTATTCCCATAAAATTTCACAATCTTCTATAATCTCTCCTAATCACGTTGTTGGTTTTTTTTTTAGCTAAATATTTGAACCCTGGCGTTCATATTTGGGTGTTCCTTTTATATAAGTATATGGCTTTCCTGGAATTTGATAGAGCTCGCCCGATAAACCACTCACATATAGGGTGCGATATATTAAGATTAGACTTTGTCTAATTTCGCGTTGTATTATGAAATAAACGAAAAATAATACATATTTAAAAGCCACTAATCGGGTAATTCGTTTCTCCAATCATAAACCTTGTCTCGGACTTTGACTGGCTATGTGCGAAGCATTAGAAGCCATTTCAGTACAGATATATTTATGCTTATAACTGAGTGCTTTATCGTTATTTATGAACATTAACAATCGGTTAATGATTATTAGATTAGTATTAGTTATATTGTTGAGGGAAGGTCGTGGGAACCCAGAGCCGTTTAACTTAGTCCAACGTTTTTTCCGAACTTTTATTTATTGGGGGCATAAAAATACATAACCAACTGCAAAGCGAGCAGCAAAATTGGAATGTTTTTAGTATACAAGCTCTGAGCGCTGTCGGGCTGGGGCGATGGGGTTGGTGGGTCAGTCGGTGGAATGGTGGGCGGGATAGTGGACTGCGTTGTAGGAGACGAGGCAGTTGAAGAAGTAGTGGTGGTGCTGCTGCTGGTTGACGTAGAAGTGGAGGTGGAAGTGGAACTAGAAGTGGATGATGTAATGTCGACTGGTGGCTCAGTTGTCACTGCAGTGTCCTCCAGCAGCTGATAATTGCAATGCGATATTTCCAAAGGATCACACAGCTGGCAATTGGCATCGGCCAGGCAAGTGCGCTGCTCTGACAAGGTCAGGGAGCAACCTCTTTTAACTCGTTGTTCCTTGATGCTCGCATAGCAAAGGCTGCGACCACTGCGTGCTATTCCACAGGCTTGTGGTGCTAGCTGCTCCGGAGCGGTACGGCAATGTTCATCCTTCAAAAGTAACATCATGAGCTTCTGTTTGTTATGATGATCGTTTTTGTCTTCTTACTCACCTCCGTATCAGTGCACTGCAAACAAGACAGCTGTCGCGCACTCACATTGTTGCACTTTTCGGTTACGCATATTTCACATTGTATACGGGTGTGGTTTCTGCTTTCGCAAGGCTCTCTCCAGCTGGTTTCTAATCGCTCCAGACAGCCCTGTGCTTTGACCACACCTCCTTCAAATACACTAACGCATGCATCTAGCTGATCCACGCATTGTTCTGTGGCCTCGTAACTGCTCCTTTGGCAGTTGATGCCGCGACAATAATGGCATGACTCCGATGCTAGGACGAAAGTTGCCCTCAGCAAAGGCAATAAAATACAGAGAATTGCGCACTTCCTGGTCAACATTGAAACTGAATCAATTGTCATTGGAAGTGACTTCGCTTTATATAAACTCGGTTGCACTCGAGAGTGCTTTGTTACAGGCCACCAGCTGAAGTGCATCAGCGAAGTGTTGGTCCCGATTAGTCGGCTCTTTAAAGTTTTCCTAGTTAAGTATAAGTATTTATTACTAGCTCACCCAAAGTCAAGCTGATTGATAACCGTGTAATGCACATTATTCCTGCGATTTGTCGTGTTTGTTTGTATTGCTCTTGAGCTCTGTGCAAACAATTCATCATTTGGCTTGTTTTGTGCATGCATAAGGCCAAATGGTTACATTATAGAGTATTCCTTAGTCATAAGTAAACAAACATGTTTACAAGTGTAATGGAATATTTCCTTGATATAGCATATTATCAAAAACTAGCTTTCGCAACTTGCTAATGGCTGCGTGATCATATTTGGCTACTGTTATTGTTATTGTTTAACTTTTATTTAAGAATCTGTACGACCTTTTTGACTTTTCTAACACTATTTGAGAACGATGTGACTGACTGACTGATTGGCTGATTGACTAATTGAGTTTATAATAGTTACATTTTATGACAAAGGAATTCGGCTGTAGTCAAAATTTTTTTTCAAAAAATCCACCCTAGATAAGAAAAGAGGAGTTGCTTGGGTCTTTAAAATCCCGACATCAAAAAGGAGTGATTACATATTACCCGCTCAATACCCCAAAACTAAAACAAGGTTCTTGGATTATTTGTCGTCTGAGGTTTTTAAAAATCTATATTTACGAGGAAAACTCTTGTTTAAAACTGTACTAAGTATCATCATAAGTGGAAAAGCGATAGTTAAAATGGTCAGAAAAACATTAAACCAGTGCAAAACGGGCAGACATGCATATTAATATATCTTGATAGACTTCATAGTTTACTTCTACATTAAAATGCTAAGATCCGATGTTTCTATTGCCGCTAAAAACAATTCTGTCCTAAGAGTAAATCGCAATCCAATACGAATTGTATTGATTTTTTGAATTTGATTTTCATGTGCTTGTACATCATTAAGTTTTCATTGCTGTACGATAAAATTGCTTTTGGGAATTCATAGATACGTTATCTTATCTCAACTAATAAGTGATCGGCCATAATACATTTGATCTAAATTTGAGGTTTATGCCATTTATATTTTGCAATTTATTTCGTCTTAATAGCTTGTGAAGTGTTTATTGTTTTGTTGTCAGGAATATAGAGGAACATTATTTAGTGAACTCCAGCCTTAAAACTATCGCAGAAAGCGAATAAAACTTTTTCCAGCATTCGAATCAACTACAATATTGACGCTGTTGCAGCCGCGGACATCTCCAGGCGAGCACAGTAGACAGTTGGCATCCTTGAGACAGCTCTGCTGATCAATTACAGTTGTTGCACAGCCTCGCTCAATGTTGCTGCCAGAAGCGGAGGCTTTCACGAAACAATATGAATTGGAAGCCGTTGGAGCTGTGCAAACTGCCGGCTTCAGCGAGGTCGCGTTCTCAGCGCAGTTGGTGTCCTGTGGATATATATAGGATTTAGGCTAAATATAGATGCAAATGGCCTAAGAATATGCATCGTACCTCGCTTGAATTGCATTGCACGCAGGCATATTTCGCGGAACCAACATTGTTGCAGCGATCCGTGTTGCACTTAAAGCAGGAGGCATCGTTCGGTGAGTCACATCGGTTGCGCAGCTGAGAAGGAATCTCAAGGGAGCAGCCTTTGTAGAGAACCTGAGCTGCTTTCAAATAAAATGTTTAGGAAGCACTTAAGGGAAGTGTGGGGCTGCAATAATAACCTACATTTATCATAGATGGCCACGCAGTAGTCCAGGGAGTCCACGCACTTTTGCTCCTGACTCAGTTCCGTACGCTGGCAGTTGATGCCTTGGCAACTGTGGCAACTTCTGATGCTGTTGGCTTCGCCATATCCTGTCGAAAGGGCGAGCAACAGCAACACACTGAGAATTACTTTGACTTTCATGGTAGGGCTTTAACTGTGGGCCGAAGGCCAACGCGTTCGACTTTTATACCCTAGCTGTCAGTTGAAGTGCACTCGACGTCAGCTCCACATGCCATAACACTTAACAGGTGGACGCGTTGTTCCATAACTGATAAGTATGGAAAAAATACTGAATGTTATTAAAGCAGGAATGAGGTGTGGAATAATTAAAAGATTTTTAATTATTTGGAAGCACACATAAATAACATTTAATAGTATTTCCGTTGCATTTTTGCGATTCGAATTAATGTGCAAATATAACAGCCTAATCTACAATAGCTAGATTATTTATTTCTGTACATTATAATTTCAATATGTAAAGATAAGATAATTGGAAATAAATATGTTGACCTACAAATTAAAGAAAATGATTAGAAATAATTAAAAAATTGTATCAAATTATATTTACACTCTGTTTTAAAGTTTTTTTTTTTTTTTTGGAAAATGAGTGTGTACTTTTTGATTTATATACGAAACTTGCTTCAAAATTAATCCTTGAGCATAAGAAAAGTTCTATGGCAACAACAAAATAACTGATAATTATGAAGCTTATCAGCTGAAAGCCGTACCCTCAAGCCATACCCAAGCATCTTTCAAGCTTCAGTACACATAATTATTTAGTACATGATAACGATTGTGTATACTGAACAGTTTAGAGCGCATATATACCCACATATGTGTCTTTGTTTATAAACTATCTAAATACGAACAAAGTAAAATGTAGTGCTTATAGATAATTCGAATGGATGTACTTCAATTAATTTGATTTTTTTTTCAAAACTGTTTAATTTGAATAATTCCACCATTTTATTTCTCATTCGACCGGGTAATGAATGATCTGATTTCTTAGGCCAAATTTCTAATAATGTTTTCTTTTATTTATTTACTTTTAAAAATCATTTGCTTCAGTAAGCTAGCAATAATATTACAAATTATATAGAGGACAATTGATAGGTGCCCGTGGCGATAAGCGAAAAACCCCAAATATGCAATCAATAATTTACTTTTGCTTTTATTTTGTTTATTTTTGATTGTTGAACAATTTGAAAGTCAGCTAGTGGGACCCTTGAACGGCCACCAGACTGAGCACAGCCAGCAGTAGACCAAGCAGTTGCTGCCCTCTTCCGGCGCCAGACTTCATGTCCAGCGCGTAGTTGTTGCAGGCGGTGGAGCCGTGAGCATCCTCTGGAAGGCACAGGCTGCAGTCGCTGTCCTTTAGGCAACTCTGTTGCTCCTTCACGTTTAGGGAGCAGCCTCTTTGCAGATGTGTGTCAACTGATTTCACATAGCAATAAGCGTTACTTGCAGTGGGCGCTGGGCATCGGGAGGGGCTGATGCTGTCTCCAGCCGAGTTGCAGTCGGCATTCTGCAAGAAATCAAGAGTTGAGATATTTGTGTAACTGAATATGTTTTAGAGCTTACCTCTAACCCGTTGCATTGTATGCACTGAAAGTCAATGCGTCCTTGATTGTTGCATAATTCTCCGCTGCACTTTTGGCACTGTATGTCCCGTGCATCGCACTTGGCTTGTGCCGCCAGGGAAAGTTCCAGTTGGCAGCCCTTTTCGCTTACCATAACTGTAAGGCAGAATTTAAGTACTTTTCCTGCATTACAGCCGATTTTACTCACAGCCCTCAAAAACGGTCACACAAGTGTCCAGCAGATCGTTGCATTTCACGGTCACATCTTGGAGCGTGGTTCGCTGGCAGTTGATACCCTCGCAGCTATAACAGGTACGGGGAGTTGAGGCATTGACAGCTGCCTCTCTTGACTCGGTGGCAAATGCTAGTGGCAGGCACAGCAAAAGGATAACAGCTGTCTGTGGCAACATGATTCTTTACACCTTCGACTTTGGGTCACAAATTAGAACTAAAACTTTTCGTTGAACTAACCAAAACGATTTTCAAGTCAATTGGTTGCACTTAAGCATTTCCATTACAATATTTTCCATTGCAATTCGATAACAGTTTATATGCAACTCGAAAGCCGAACATTTTCAAGGGGCTTTAATACCCTATACACTTAAAACCAGGAAGTGTGGTGTAATTAACGTCAGTTATTGGCTTGCACCTTCAACTTACCTTAATTACGCACTATAATTAAATATTTAAACATTGTTTTAAAAATGCATACCACTCAAATTAATTTTTGAATTAAAGGAAAACGAAAAGTGATATCCTCGCTAGGCGTTCATCAAATTAACTACAGAGTGTCTTCGTAGTCAAGCTGGCAAAACTTAAAGATTTTGATATTGTTCGTGAAACATTTTTGTGGCTTATCTGCCGACGTTTTGTTTGCATGTCTCTTGACGTTCCCAATATCACAAGTAGCTGTATTTGTGTAAAAGCTTATCTCCCAGGTAGAAGTATATACTAACATAGTACATATTTATGCACATGTGTGTCTACTAAATTCGCTGTGATTATTTTGTTATTATGACTCACGCTTTGAGGTGGTTTACCGGCTCTTTATATAAAATCGATAATACCTAGTTACATGATATTTATAAAAATAAATTGTATGGAATTGTTTCGAGAAGGTCCCATTTTAAGGAGTTCATAATCCAAAGAGTCTATGAGTAACTTTTTTTTATCGCCACTACCAATTATTGTTCTATGATCTATATCTAAAGTTGTTTAATATTTTCAGTGAATCATTTACAATTGGCCATATTCGACCAATCGTTTTTATTAGTCCAGCTATCTGCAGGTTATCAGACAGCTTATCATCAATCGCATTGAATTTATACACAATGCGTAGATCTATGACAGTTAAAATTAAAAAAATTGTGCCAACCAAAAAACTATGGTTGTAATTCATAGACAACACGCGGCCTCGGACAATAAGCACTGTGCACATAATTTGGCCGAATTAAACAGACATGTGTCTTCTAACTTGAAGCAGGGATAACAGATACCGAGATATGTAAACGTGACAGAAGTGTACTTGAAGTATAAACAATTAGCTGGAATTTCAAAGCGCCTTTTTCAAGTACTTAACTGGTTATCTATAAGAATTAGTATCATTTGATAGGAAGTGCCATTTCCTCTTATATATATCTAGTGAAGTTTCACAAACATCTGACAGAATATTCTTAAACTCCTTTCAGTTGAGTTGGCGTATCCAAATCTGAATAACATTTCATTGTTTTTTAATTTGATTTATTTTTACTAAAAGGCCATAGACCAATAATGGTTTTTCTTGGAACCCATGCTCAGCATGACTATCAAATCGAAACCGATAACAATATATAACAATATTTAGTAAACATGTGGTGGCATATGAGTATACACAAATCCACATTATTAAAGTTGTTTACCTACTTTGTGCATTCGAACTCAAATGACAGCGAATGGACGCTGACTACAGGGTGTCTACTAGTCGGCCACTCTCGTCCTACAATTTCCATACTCAAGACTTCTTCTTCTTATTTTCATCTTCCCTCCTTACTTGCATTTATGCCGTTAGTTCGTTTCAACTGCTCAACCATATTTTCAACTTTTCGCGAACTTTAATGCGAAGGTCACACTGAAATATTCACTTCGTTTAAATTAAAGCACAAACTGTACTTATTTGCATATACTTACAGCATATTTTTTTAAAACCTAGGCAGACGGACAAAAAGCACGCGGAGATTACGTTACACAATCGTAAAGGAGAAAAGCTGCAGAGAAAAGAGAGAATGGAAAATAACACAAGCATAACAAAGATATATGCAAAACAGATGAATTGGGGATAAAGGCGCGCACAGAAACAAAGAGAAAAAAAAAACATACCAGAAAAAAATGATGGAAAAAAACTCTGAAATCGTTATAAAAATTGTAACTTTATTTTACCGCCGGGGCAACTTTTAGATATGCCATGGAAATAGCGGGCGGTAAATGTTAAAGGCAGTGACATAATGAAAATGAAAGTTCCAAGAGGGTTGTCGCAACATCGCCAAGAACAATAACAACAACGACCGAGTAAATCCACTTAAAATCGTATCAAAACAAAACCGGAAATGGACTTTGTAAACTCTGGAAATGACCTTAAGTTTAAAGCTTCCCTTAAAAGGGCAGCTGTGTACGTTCAATGCTGCAATAACAAAACGCCAAATAATTAATGAAACGAGTAATAATATTATTAAAATGGATTCTACACCGAAAAGTCAGGTAAGCTAGTTTATAAAGTACATTTATTATTTTTATGTTAAATAAGCATTTTGTCTATATTTGAATAATTCGAACATTTAGAGATTGCTCATTTAAAAGTGTAGCATAGATTTTTTATCAATTATTAACCTGATCGAGCGACCATACTATTAGAATTGGTCCAAAAGTAGATAGTTGAGAATGTATTTTGTACTCTCTTTGTCTTAAAGCTTGATTCCACTATGCTCAAAAGAATTTTGAGCATTGTGGAACTTGGAACTTAGAATGTTTTCCCTTCTATATGCGAAACGCTCCCAGTTTTAGGAAAAATCAGCATACCTCATTTTCAACTGGTACAGGGTACAAGTTAAGTCTGCAGCATGTTGATATATGCGCACCTTGCAGATACATTTATCTAGTAAATTGCCAGTTTATTGAATGTGTGGCAAACGATTCGCGAGCATTTATACTATTTATCGCATGCCACAAATTTCGCTGAGTATCTAACGAACACAAACATTACGCTATTTGTTATGCATTGAGTGGGCTTATCTGATGGCCAAAAGTTATGTGACGTGACACTACATATGCGCCTAACGCGAAGTTATATCTGGGAAAATGGATTTGGAGTCTGGATTAGTTTTTCTGCGCATATTATTTACTGCTGATTGCATGTTGGCCCGCTGGGGACACTTATCGAAAACGCTGCCTTCTCATAATTGACTTGAATCATTTTGGCAATATGCATGCGTGTGGACTGACTGATTGATTGATTGATTGATGCATGGAATCTGCGGGGTGTTCCGCTGGCATTTCGCATTGCAAATACGCCTCCTTGTTTCGGGTTATGTATGTGTGGCTCGCTTGGCTTTCATTTCCTTTGCCGCGTTTTGCGGCCTGCGGTCATACACCTAACAGCCTGGCTATTTCTCTATCGCCCACTAACTCTTCACCTGCCACTCTTCCTCTCTCTCTCCATCTCTCGCTCAGTGTCTCTCTCTCTCTTTCCCTCTGTCGAACCATGAGTTCTCGCTTGTAATTGCGTTTATTGTGCGTTTGAGATTTGTAATTCACTTGTGTGTTGTGTTGTGTATGTATGTGTACGAGTATATGTATGTGTGGCATGTCGGCGCCGTGTTGATTGAAAATGGCTTAAGTAATCGACAGTTGATTGGTTGATTTGATTGTTGGTGCTGTATGCGCGATTGTTGCTGTTGTGTCCGTCGAACAGTGCGGATTAGTTTTGCAGCTGTGCCCATGGACATGTATATGGTGGGGTTCCACTTCAGCTTATTGCACTGTAAATCTTGTTATGACACTTCGTTCATGCGGAAGAATTTAGGAGAATTTCTTACATCGAAGCGTAGCTGCTTATTATTGACACCATGACAATGCTTTAAACTGAAGGCCCAAAAAAAAAAAACTGCATCAGACTTAAAGGAGCTCACACCTATAACTCGTATCTATTAAAAAAAAAATTCGGCAGTCTAGTAAACATGCAAAGGTTTCCTTGTTTTCGGTGGCCATCAAAATTGAACAAAAAATGTATATTGGAATATTGTCTTTTGCTTTTGTATATTCAGACTATTGGATGACATATTTAAGACCCGAGTATGTTATAATAATCGCACCGAAGTTATTCGGGAACGCCTTTCTCATAGGAAAGCTGGTAATTACTTTAAGTTTCAAACGTTGAAATTAAATCTTAGACATATAATTTAACTATGCTAATTAAGTTCGTTAGAAACGACCCTTATTAGTTGAAATAAGCTAGTTTCCTTAACTTACAGCAGCTCGCTTTAGATATTTAAAAAACATATGAATATATTAAATAAGCGCAGAATCGCAGCGATTTAGTGGGGAATTGAAAGATTAGCCACTTGTGGATGTTTTGCTTTGCTTAGTCGCTCATATCAAACATTACTTGAGCATTTCTTCAACATTTCTATGTCAGCTGCGAGTTTCTTTGCGTCTGCCACAGAACCCTGACCCAAATGCATTGGCTGGCTGCACGCTCTGCTCTTTGGACAAGGCGAACAGGGTGGTGGACTCTTTGCCAGAAATAAGCTCCTGGCGCTACCTTGCGGCACTGTGGCTACAAACATTTTTGCGGATGGACGCAGCCACGAGCACCACTTTGTTTCGAGCGGCTTAAGCGGGTGAAGTAGTTGATGCTGGTGGGAAAGCGGGAAAGTGGGAAACGAGTTGAGTTTTGTGTGAGGCAAAACGTAAATAAAAGCCAAGCAGGCAAACGGCCACGAAAGAAACGTAAAATGCCGCAAAATGGCGCAAAAGAAAATCCACTTTTACGGTAAAAGTTCTCAGTGGTATCGTTGTTCTTGTAGTAGTTGTTGTTTTTGTCGTTGCCTGCTACCTTTACCAAAAGGCAGCCATTAGCTGACCTGAAAAGCTTGGCCCGGCTTTCAAGTGGCGCTCTCTCTTAGTGGCTTCATATGCACTTCAATATTTAACATAAACAAATATAAACAAACTACATCAAGTGTATAACAATGAGCTTGTGTGCGTTGTGTGTGTGCGTGCGTGCGTCTGTGTGTGTGTGTGTGTGTGTGTGTGCGTGCGTCAAGTGTGTAAATATGTGAGTGTTTACATTTCTTTACTGGCAAGATGACAGGCCGAATAAGGCAGCTGACAGCTTCTGTTTCACTTTAAATAAGCTCGAATATAAATTATACAATTTTCCAAGCGTGGCTTTTGTTGATGCTAAATAATATATTTCA